TCCAGATTGCATGTTTCGTTCCAAGTGTAACACTTAGCCTTAGTTTGAAAAATCTAAAATCTGGGGTGTCTTCCTATGGACTATAATCGGGAAATCAACAAATGGCTATTTTTTAAAAAAAGTTTTGTCAGACTTAGTTTACATTTGCAGACCCAGTAGGTATGAAGCCTGCTAAAATTCAACCAAATAGGTGACAGTGTTGTTTTTCTACAAGAAGCCTTCTGAGTCTGAGAGGTGGTTGTATTGTTGTTTTTTAAGGGACTCCTATAACTAAAAAAATAAAAAAAGAATCTTGGCAGAATCAGCCCTTCATGATTCAGAATTATGTCAGTTTTCCAAAACAGCCATTTTGTCTAATTGCACAGAAACATGAAGCTGTGGAAATGCTGAACAGCTCAGAGGTGCTAAGTGACAAATATTTGCTGTAATAGTGCACATAAAAATCTGTTGCTGTCATTTAGCTGTGCTTTACCATATGGCCCCAGGAAGGCACAAATCATTCTGTGCACTCGAAGCCCATTCCAATGTCTCCCAAAGTGAACGGGCCTCTTTCCATCTATTTCTGCATGATCCGAGTCATGCCCTTTTGTTCAATTCCCTTTTATATTTAAATTGGAAACTCTATCAGCACTTATTGAAGTGAAGCCGATGCCAGATATTAGCCAAGCTTTTCATTTTCATAATGGAAAACCATTGTCTTAGGTCTGTTTCAAAGACCTGTTAACACACCAGTGTCGAAAATGTCTGTCTGTAGCACCTGCAGATAATTACTGTACATCAGTAAATTAAACAGCAGCCCCTGATGATATTGATTAGATAGTGATTACGCTTTAATCTACAGCTCCTCAGTGCAGTAAAAACTGTTCAAAGGATTATTCTTTGCTGAGGCTCTGACAGTAACATAAAAGGAACAATTTAAAAAATCTATCCTTTGAACGTTTCTCCCCCCCACCCCACCCGAAGAATAGTACTGCACATTCCACTTTTTTATTATTGATGCGATGTGCTATAGTGGAGGGAGATAATAAACTTTATTAACTGTATAGCAAAGTCGTGAAGTTCAAGATCAATACAGCGGAACTTCTTATCAGGTAAGAATATGAAAATCTTATTTTCCTTTGCACTTAAAGGAATGGCATCAATAAATTACATGTAGCACATGATTGTTTGTGTTGAAAATAGTTCAGCAGTAAAAATGACCTGTTCTCCTTAGTGAGATTAGATTCCAGCTTTTGCTTTTTCCGTCGCTAATGTGGCTTTCTCCCATTTCAATGACTTTTAAGCTGTTGCAAAGGTGAGCTATTCCATTATCGAAAGTACTTACACTTGATCGTAAAGCAATTGCATTCTTTCAATCTAACATCTTGCATCTTCAATCTAAAGCTCTGGTAACCTTCTTGCTGATCTCTAATGTTTTGTGCGTGGTGCCATTTTTGCTAGGATTATAAGGTCTATTAGATTGAGTGACATATACAAGCATGAACCACATGGGCAGAAACTGACTTTGGGTAGCGGGGTCACTGCTGCTTCCAGCTGCTATATTTATGCTTGTCAAAACATTGCCTATTTTATCAATAGTGAGGAGCGTGCACCTCATATTTACTGACTGTGTCTTCTCCTTTCCTGTCCTTGATTAAAGCAGGAATTGTTAGGAAAGTGTAAATGTATTGTGGAGCCTTAACTATGTGCTACAGGTCCATCACACCTACTACCCTTAATATTTCATAAAAATTGCATAATGAGACATCATTGCACCTACCTCTGCTCAAATTTCATTGACTGCCTTTTTCAGAGAAGTAGGGAAATGTGAGCATGACAATAATTTATTTGACCAAATGAGGAGATGGGGGTGTAGGACAAAGTTTGCTTACAACCACACCTTCCTTTTAACACGTGCTAAGATTTTATATTGGCTGGAATAAAGCATAGGTCTGCTTTCTCTGACCTGGTGTCATCCAGATTATTTTTTTGAACAGATTTGGCAAAGCTGACAGCAATGTTAAGAGTTCGAAATGGTGAACTTTTTATAGAAGAATAGAGGGCTTTTCTGGACTACTGGGGGGACGGGACAGCCAGTCAAAAGAAATTACAGGCAGGATGTGAGATAGGAGCAGCAGGAGAAAAACAAATAACTAATTGTATTAGAGGGATTTATGTAACAGATAAGAGTTTGATATATAATGCAGTAGAAACAAAAAACATTGTGGAGGTGTGGGTGGGAAGTCAATACATGAAGCAATGTAACTCTTTAATTCATAGTCCATTTGTAAAAAACAACTGGAGATTTTATATATATATATATATATATATATATATATATATATATATACACACACACACATATATATATATATGAGATTGTGTGTGTGTGTGTTCCCATCAACCCCAGCCAGTATGGTCAATGGTCAGGGATGATGATGTTGTAGTACACAACTTTTGGAGGGCACCAAGTTGGAGAAGGATGTCCTAGAGTACAAAGTGGTTGCAAAGTGTCTACGAGAGAGAGAGAAAGAGAGAGAGAGAGAGAAGAGAGAGAGAGAGATATGTACTACAATGAAACCCTGCATGAGCCTAGAATGAGATAACATCAGAACTCAAAACTAGTTCAAAATGAAATGCATTCTTTATCAATCTTTACTTTGTGGGAGTTGAATACAACCCCTAAAGACTCTCTGTTTAGCCCACAGGTCTCTTCTCATGCCACATTCCCCATCAGTCCTGCTCTGTGACCTCTTCAGCTGCTTTTGCCTGCTCGGAATGTGTCCTTGAACTGTGATTATTCCTATTTTTTACTTTCCTCCGTGGAGAGAGATGTTTTTGTGTGTAGAAACCTCTGACTTTTGTGGGCTGAAATACGTAAAAGTAAAAGTCACATTCATTGCCCCACCCACCTTCCCCCTTCTGGCCCTGATTTAGAGCTGGGTTTCCCAAACTTGGGCCTCCAGATGTTTTTGGACTACAACTCCCATCATCCCTATCTAGCAGTTCCAGTGGTCAGGAATGATGGGAATTGTAGTCTAAAAACAGCTGGAAACCCATTTATGCAAAAGACTGATTTAGAACCTACCTTGTGAATGTAAGCACCATCTGCTGAGGGCATGCTCTGTATAACATCCAGCACATATTAACTGAGGCTGCAATCCTGTGCAGTTGGGAGATGGCTCTGATGAACTCAGTGGGACTCATATCTGAATAAATATGCACTGGATTGTGCTATAAGACCCCTTTTACACTTACATACAATAAACAAACATACTGAGATGAACTCAACCCTTGTCTCTCTCCTCCACAACCACACCAAGAGCTTTAAAAGGCTGGCAACCAGTTACAACTTTTAATCTTCAAATAGCCACTGATTTTTGCAATTGCAATAAACAATTGATTAAATTTAAATGCATCTGCGTATCTCAATGTGGGTACCCTTTTCTGAAGATCCTGAACATCACTGAAGAATGAGGAGAAAATATTTTAACTAATAAAAGCAACGACATGTTCTGAGGTGGGTAGAAAGGACGCATTTTAATATTTTTAAACTGAAATAAACATGGCATATTCCCCATGATGGTAACAAACCAGAGCCAAGGTAACAGGAAATAATTTAGTCAAAGCCTAGGAAAGACAACAGAGACAAACATCTTCAAAGAAAAACTGATGATATTGAAGGGGTGCTTTTTAGCATTGCCAAAATTGTTTCACAAAACCCCAAACAAGCTGTAAATACTTCAGGGTCGGTCCTAATTTTAATGATTTAAAATGTTTGTATGCAGTGCCTAGGAGTGCCTCTCTCTCATTCCCTGGAGCGGGTTGCTCTGAATTATTAAAAGAACAAATCAAGTTTTTTAATCTTGCCACCTGAAGTCTGTCTGTGTGCTGTTTTGTGAGGCGAAAATGTCTTCCAGCAACGCATGCCAGGGGCTGAGCCTTGGCACAGCAGAAGCCTTGCTTGATAGGGGAGGGGAGGGAAGATTTCTGTGTGAAGAAGCCAAGGCCATCTGGCCTGCTTGCTCTTTCTGGGATTCCAGGAAATATTCCCCCCCCCCCGCTTGTTAAAAAAGCAGACATTTTACCAGTAGGTGTGCCCTGTGACAGCCAAAGCGCCTCTCTGTGATTGGCAAGTCAAGTAAAGTCATCTAATAAAATCCCCTTGGCAGGGCTAAACATGCATCACAGTTTTGCTGCCACAGAGTCCGGGCTCAGTGTCGCTCCTCGCCGCGAGGTGACTTAACTAGCATTTCATGACCTTCCCAAGGTACGGAAAATTCCAGCTGCGTTTCCTGACCTTAACATGCACCTTCGTATAAAACACAATTCAAATTCTGTCAACTTTGGAAGAATTTCAATTACTTTCATGGGAGGAGGGAAAAGAAGGTGAGAGGTTGATGTTTTTGGCTCTCTGTCCCCTGAAGAACAGAATGAAATGCTCCGCGGGCATCTGGAATATTTTTTATGTTGTTTTTTTTAAAACGTACTGGCATTTTCAGTCCACATAAGAGCACCAAACTGTTGGTATTTAAGAGGCTGGAGCATAAAAAAAAGGGCAAACACACAGTCAAACCCTGGGATTTATTTTGAACCGGCTGAAGGCTGTTTTGACTGGAATGCTTACTCAACTAGAGGCTAAGCATAAATAAATGAGGCATTACTTCATCTGAAAACCTCCTTGCCAGTGCTGATCTAGAAGAACCAATGGTTCAACTGGCTATAGAGTAATTTCTTATAATTATAATTCTTATAATTCATATGCTCCAAGCTGTTTTTTCTGGCATTGGTCCCTAATTGATCACTGCCTGTTTTTAAAACCATTATCTTTCTTCCCCCAACACACACTTTGAGTTGTATAAAATATTATCAGGCTGAGTAGCTAAAGTTGTCGTTCTTCAGGGTTTAGCTCCTTCCCCAAGATCTCTGAAAGTTAAGGCTCTAAGTAAGAGATAGCCACATAGAATTGGAAGGGACCATGATGGCTATCTAGTCCAACCTCCTCCAATGCAGGAATCTTTTGCCCAATGTGGGGTTCGAACCCACGACTTTGAGATTAAGAGTCTCATGCTCTAACAGGAACACTAGGTCACCATCAGTACTTGGAATAAACAAGTTCAGTTGAACAAAGTGAAAACTGAACTTGTCAACAACAACAGAGCTACACCTGAAAGTAGTTCCCATTATTGCACACTTTGTCATATTTTATTCATTTTTGGTACACATTACTTGGCTGGAGAACTGCACTGAAAAATTCAGAGATGGGCGAATTTTGAAGGCTAGCTTGTGATTAAGTTTCTGTATTGTTTCAGAAAGTGTAAGTTGCTTTGCCTTAAAATGCAGTCTGTATTGTTTCCCCATCATCACTAACTTCAGTGGATTTCAAGGCACTCTCAAACCTGGAGCCATCCTGCCACCTGAGGATACAATTTTTTTCTGTTGTTTATGGGGTGTAGTTTTGCCCTGTGTGTGCCTCGGAATGAAACACAAAATAGCAAACGGCTTGACTGTTTCTTGTTGTCCCTTGGGAAAGCTGTGGTGAAGTGTCTCAACCAAGCCCTTATTTCGTATTAAGAATAAATATATTTTCTTTCAGAACCACACACACACACACACACACACACACCCTGTTATTTTGCTTTACAATTATAGTCTTTCTGCTCACTTGACACCTATCTTTAGACACCTGAGGTGAACTTCTTGCCTGCTGTTTTCATCCTGTTAGACTAGACAAATGAGATCATATACCATGTGGGACGCTGCAGGTGAAATTGCCACTATTCCTTGGCCAGCCTATCAAAGAGTGCTGCCATGGTTCACATACTTTCCTATTTGCATAGAGATGAGGCATGTTGCGATCATAAAGAAATGCAGAAAGTTCCACTTTAGAAACAAAGTAATGGAAGTAATAGCTCTGGTGACCACACTCATTTAATTTGCCTTGGCTTTTGCTTTGAGGATGTAATAGATATTTTATACAGGAGAAACAGTGGTTAATATTGTGCTCTCTTTCTCCTTACAACTTGTTCTTTGTGTGTGTGTGTGAACTGAAGTTGACACAAGAGATTGCTTCTGTTGTTTGCAAGAATTGCTGAACTACCTCTTTAGCATGGTTAAATCTGATTTACAGATTCAATTACTGCCTTACAGTAATAAAGACTTATTTGACATCGGCACTATGCTTTTAAACCAAGGACTGGGAACCATTTTCAGCCCTTGGGCCAAGTGATGGGTAAGGTGCAGGGAAAGTCCCAAGGGGCCAGATAGAAATGTCAGGAGAGAAAGTACAAACTAAATCAAATCTGGGGAATCAAATCTGTAGTTTAGGTATGCTGTTATTTTTTTGTACCATGGGATCTGGCTCTATTAGACACCCTCCAACATATAACAAAATTTGGATAATTTCTTATCTTCCTGTGGCCCCACAGTCTGGGGCTGAAGCCAGTGCCAGTGATGTCAGCTAAAGAAGACATCATCTCAGCATCTCTGAACTTTGTGCCATCCAGATGTTTGGGACTACAACTCCCATCATCCCTCATGCTCATGCTGGCTAGGACTAATGGGAGTTGTAATCCAAAATATATAGGGTGGGTATCAGGTTGGAAAAGGCTGTTCTAAGTTCAGAGGTTCAAGTCAATAACAACCAGCAGTTGACCCCATATCAGTTGCTGGGGAACAAACAACAGAAGTGAGTAATTGCCTTCATGTTGTGCTCATAACCTTCTGAGATACATCTACATTTGATCACTTTTAGAACCAGAAAGCTGGAGTAGACTGAATATTTCATTCAATCTAGCAGGATTCTAGACTGGACTGGATCTTTCATTCAATCTAGCAGGAGTCTTATGTTTCTTTCAAATTCACAGATGAAAATCATGTATTTGCATTTGATGCACACATATGTGTATCCTCTGCATAAATGAGAATGAAATTGAAATTTATTGCACTAACGTTTGCATTAATATGCATTTCTGATTTGCTGCCCATCTAAATATCAGTGTCAGAGTATCTCAGCCATATTGTTCGAAAATTCTGGGAGGGAAAAGACAGCCAACACAGAAATTGTTATGATCTTCCTTTTCTGTTCTCCAATTACGTGCACACCTGGGTGGGAGGCAGAAGACGAGTTTCAGGGAATGGTGAAGCGAGGCTTAATGGCACGATGCTGAATAGTGTAGTGATGCAAGACTGATGAACATGTTTTGGAGAGGCTGAGAGAACCAGAAGGGATCAGGCAATTATAATCACAGTGACCTTACAAATGTGACATGGGAGTATAGGATTAGAAATGAAAGTGATGAGGCATGGCCTTTAGCAAAGCCATACTAAACGTGCATGTTCTAATTTCAAATTTAATGTTTAGGAGAAAATCATGCTTTTTTTTAAAAAAGGGGGCATTTTTGTAGGCCTTATCTGTAGCTTTGGAAGGGGGAATTAGAAGGGGGCAAGGAGTGGTTCCTGTTGGGAATGATAGGAGCGGAAATATTAAAAGTAGATCAACAATTCTTTATGTATGCCATAACGGCAGCCAGAACTTTAATAGCCCCAAAATGGAAACAAGAAGAGTTACCAACAGTGGAAGAATGGCAGACGAAGATTATGGCAAAGTTGACAGGGAAAATCTGAAACCAGAGAGACCAAGCGTTCCAGAGAGAGTGGAGTAAATTTATACAATACATAGAGAATCATTGTACAGTGGTACCTCGGGTTACATACGCTTCAGGTTACATACGCTTCAGGTTACAGACTTCGCTAACCCAGAAATATTGCTTCAGGTTAAGAACAGTTTCAGGTTAAGTACAGACCTCCGGAAAGAATTAAGTACTTAACCTGAGATACCACTGTACACATATGGAGAACACTAGCAGGACTGAGATATAACTCACAACGTTTTAAAAAAGGAAGATTCTATTTGTGATTAAGGTTGTTTAATAAGTTAAGACATATGAAGAATTGAGATGTTATAAATGTGTGGAGATAATAATGCATTATAAGAAAACCAGAAGACGGGTGGAGGGAAGTCGAGAGCTCGACAGATCAAAAGATTGTATAAAAAGTTTTATGATGCTTTAAAATTGTTAAAAATGGAAAATTAATTTTAAAAAATTAAAAAAATAGAAGGGAGCAAGGAGTGAAAAGTTCCTCTACCTTCCCCACATAGGTGGCTCACTATATACCAGTCAATAACAATTAGTATATACAGTTGTACCTTGGTTCTCGAATTTAATCTATTCCAGGAGTCCATTCGAATCCTGAAGTGGCCCAAAAACCAAGGTGCTGCTTCCGATTGGCTGCAGGAGCTTCCTGCAGCCAATCAGAAGCTGCAGAAGCCACGTCGGACATTCTACTTCCAAAAAAACATTTGCAAACCGGAACACTCACTTCCAGGTTTGCGATGTTGGGGAGCCAATTTGTTCAACAACTAATAATTCTTTGTTTCATTTCTGTTTGTTACTATCATAGTAAGACCAAGAACAACTTGGGAAGTAATACATAGGAATGAAGCATCAATGTCTATTATTATTATTATTATTATTATTATTATTATTATTATTATATTTTGCTGATACCTCACCTTTACTCCAGGAAGTTCAAGGCGGTCATAAAAGGTTGTTTCCCCTCTTCATTTTATCTCCACATCAACCTAGTGAGATAGGTTAGGCTGAGAGACAGTGACTAGCCCAAGGTCACCCTGAGAGCTATATGTCCAACTAGGGGTTTGAAATTGGGTCTCCAAGATGCTGCCCTAATGCTGTGTACACTTTGCCATTGATTCTGGCTCTAGTGTGCTCCCACCGCTGGCCTTTGCATATGTGCACACATGACGTTACCCATGATTCAGAGCGATCCCACTTCAATCCAGAAGGAAAGCTGAATTCCCTTCACAGTTAAGCTGAGGTGTGTCCATTTGAGGCAGCCATTGCACATGTCAAGAGGATTTCAGAGGTGTTGCTGGGATGGGGAAACTAAACAGGCATCCCCTCTCTGTTTTGTACAACGACATGCAAATGTGACTTTCACCTTTTAACCTGCTGATGTGTACACAGCCTAACACGCTAACCAATGCACCACGTTGACTCTCGATTTCACACTTTTGGAGATAGCGTGTTCTCCTTCATGGAGAGCACGTGTTGTGGTGGGGGCCGACAGGACACTCCAAAGTTGGGGGCGGGCTAATTGATCGTTGGCCACTGATGTGATTGGGCTTCCCTTGTCATTGGGAAGAAGTTAATGTTGTCATTTGTTGATTGACAGCCGGAAATGCTAAAACTCCCTCCACGTGGCGTAGAGCTTCCTCTTTTCGTCCCGTGCATCGGATTGCCCGTCCCCCCTCCCTATATTTAGGGTTGTTCGCTTTGACCTTGCTATGCCTGTCATGGGGTCATCTGCTCTTGGGGCAGGGGCCTGGTAGGAATTTTGTCCATCTGGCTGATTGGCTGGTGCCATTTGGTTTTTGCCTGCTGTGTAGCAAATCGTCACAACTTGTAAGGTTGTGGTTAGGCATTGGTTTATGGTTTGGTTGGTTGAGGGGCATGGATTGGCTGTGCCTGCCCCTCTAATGCTGCTGTTGCAAGGGATTCCGTTAAAGGAATACAGGGGCTCACTATTGCTTTTGTCCACCCTGTCAAGGGGCTCAGGCCATGCAAGAGTACCTGGTTGCATTTGGGGAGGGCCAAGGGCAGGTTCCCAGCTCCGTCGCTACCCCCAAGTGTATTTCCCTTTTCTGACTTTCGCAGGCATGCAGAATGTCAGTCTGTCCCCCATGGGGGGGGGCAGATAGTCGCAACCAATGCCTAAGCAACCACTCACATTTTTGTATTTTAATAAAGTTGTGGCCGGAATTATGCCAAAAACCTTAAACAAAATTCCTGCGTGATGTGTGAGTTATTGGGGTGGCCCTGGGGACCTCGACACGCAAAACTGCCCCCTTCTGAAACGAACATTTCCCTGCAGATCATGCAGAAAAGCCATAGCAGAAAACAAAGCACAAGAACCCTGATGGGCGACGCGTTCTTCACAAAGGATGTCAAATGCTGACCTGCTTGCTGTTCTCCGAAGCCAAAAGAGATTGGCCTTCTTGTACTAAGCAGCAGCTGAGATG